CCTCAGGGAATTACTAGAGAAAAATAATTTCAATAATAACGAAATCGATGAATTCGTTTCTCTTACTAATTTGTGTATGAAACAAAATCGGTTCCAGGTAGAAGATGTAATTTACGTCTCCAAGGATAATAAAAAATTCTCTGTTAGATCAACTAAAGATTTAGCTAAGTTATGATCGAGTTTGTACCACTTTTTTCACTTTCATTACCTTTTTTTTTCAAATAAACCAGGCTCAACAAGTTCACTATAATTTACCACCTAGGCGACATATATTTCCATTTGTATCTATTTTTTTTCTTTTTCATCTTTACTGAATTTTGTGAATGTATTGATAAGTTATAGCTAAATATTAAATCACTTTATTGACTGCTAACAGTTTCTTGACTTGATAAAAACAGGTATAAATCACCGTAACTTTACTTTACTTTACTTTTTCACGTTCGCCCAATGAACGGAATGAAAATAGCTCATCTGAATATCCGATCTATATTTACAGGATTTCAGGAATTCAGGGAGATTGTTATTGATAACGATATCGATGTCATGTTATTGTCTGAGACATGGTTGGGCTCAGATCATGAATCTGATAAGTTAAAAATTCCTGGATATACTTTTTTTCGTAAGGATAGAGCCGGCAGGGGTGGAGGAGTTGGAGCATATGTCAAAGGGTCGGTGAGTTGTGAAATTCTGAGAATTGATATGATTATGAAGAGTTCTGTTGAATTTTCTTATTGAAAACCAAAATGAAGGGTAAACAGTGTATTATTGGCGTTTTTTATAGGCCGCCTAATGCTATGATAGGGGATGTAATAGATGACATGGACAATATATTGTCTATGACGGTGCACACTGTGAACTGGATGGCTTGTTTAGGAGATTTCAATGTAAATTGCTTCAATTTAGATAATACCTTAATACATTGCTTCGAATCATTTGGTTTCTCACAAATAATGAATGTTGCAACTAGATCCACAAATACATCAAGTACATTACTAGATATTATATTCGTATCAGAAACTGACATGTAAATACATTCGGGACCTTACATGGGATCTCGGATCATGAAATGACATTTGTAGAAGTGAATATTTCAATTAATCATAGAGAACCACAGTTCATCACTTATAGATGTTTTTGTGATTTCAGTATTTCTAATCTCCTTGATGAACTTTATGAACTTCCTTGGCACAATATCATAAACATGACAGATCTTGATAAAAAAATCGAACTTTTCAATGACTTCATTCTCTCCGCTTTCAATAAAAATGCTCCTGTTGTTTCAAGAAGAGTTACCAAAAAATCAGCACCCTGGCTCACTGAAAACCTTAGAATGTTAAAAAAAGAACTATACTCTTTCTGTAACTAGATGTGAGAAAAAAACTAACCTGAATCAAGTGTTCCAAATGAAAGATTCTAAAACCTCTTGGAAAACTCTGAAAAACCTAAGTGTATGCTCAGGCCGTAAAAACTCTATTCCTGAATATTTAGCTAACCCTAATGATTTGAACAATTATTTTTCTACCTTTCTGCAGAACGTACCCAATATATGTGATAATAAAATTGATTTTTATAACAACTCAGTTCATGATCCCTCAATCAAATTTTCATTTAAACTGATAACCGTCGAAGAAGTTAACACATTTTTACATAGTATCCGTACTAATGCTTTTGGAGTTGATAATATAAATGCAAAAGTGTTGAAGTATTGTAGCCCTTTTATCGATCGATACATTGCCCACATAATTAATTGCTGCATTGAAAAATGTTACTTTTCAGTGCTATGGAAAACCTCTGTTGGTATACCGATCCCAAAAACCGGGTAGAAATAGTGAAATATCTCTAGCAACCGTAACTACTGATATATTAACTGCATGTGATCAAGGCTTATCTAGCACTTTGATACTGCTTGATTTTTCCAAAGCATTCGATACTATTAATCATGAGCTGCTTTGTGCTAAATTAAGATTTTATGGCTTTGATGAATCTTCAGTATTTCTTATATGGAATTACTTTTTAAGGCGTTCTCAAAAAANTATTATTATTATTATTATGAACAACAGGAAGGAACGGCCATGGGAAACCCCTTGTCCCCCTACCTGACAGACCTGTTCATGAGCAGATTCGAAATGGAAACCAAAAAAAAGTCGAAGTATTTTCCTAGGATTTGGCTAAGGTATGTGGATATTTTCGCGATATTCGATACTAAAAAATCGAATTATGAGGACTTTGTTTTCATTTTAAATAATAGATGCCCATCAATAAAATTCACGTATGAGTTAGAAAATAAGGGACACTACCTTTTCTTGACGTTTTGGTAATGAGGAGCCAATATGGAGAGTTAAAATACGATATATTTAGAAATGAAACAAGCACGTACAGGTATATTCCTGACAGTTCGCAACACTGTGGTTCACAAAAGAAAGACGTACAATACAGAAAATATCAGCCACTAACGGTTTCTCGAGGGGTATTGTAGATGATATAATAAGAAAGAAGAAGTTTAGGTAAAGAATAAACGAAATCTCGACTTTCAGAAAGGACAAAAACCAAGATGAATACATCTCAGTTCCATACCACCAATATAAGAAGAACTTTGGAAAGATTTTCAAGGAACTAGGTATGATGGTGGTTTTTAAAACAAGTCATACTGTCAAAAGCCAAATTGTCAAACATATTAGTTTCCACTGTATGGGTCGATATAGTAAAAGTTCATTTACCTAAATAAAGTTATGATATTCGGCAATTAGCGATAATGCAATAATGCTGATTGGCAATATTAGAAAACGACCTAAAATCGGGAACAAGAATGTGTGGGCATTGATCATTGGTTTGCCACCTTCTGAAGATAACACATCCATCACCCCTGAAAATGTACCTTCGGTAAGTGTATTATTTTTTTATTTGTATTAGTGGCTGTTGAACCATATTTTTTATAAAGCGTAACATTGTTGAGGGTTATGTTGTAACTTTACTTTAATAAACCTCAACATTTTTCATCTATGATTATTATTTTTATATAAATCCTACCATCTGAGTTAATCCCCTACTCGCGAGCCATTTGGGCCGCGACAATACACTACAGAGCCTTTTGGGAAGTACAAAAGACAAAGTCGAGAATACGGAAACGTCTGGAATTTACGAAATTGAATGTAAGGACTGCGATGCAAAATAGTATGGACAGACAAAAAGATCTATTAAAGTAAGATATAAGGAACACATAGCACACTTAAAATATGGAAGAGCATACTACATAACTTGTTAAAAATAATATTGATGAGTTTACTGATTACTACATAAGGACACATTGCAAAAATGAATTTAGATAGGCAATATTGTGAAATTAATTTTGGAAGATTCTCTCATCCCTTTTTTGTATCAGATGGAGTAGTAGAAAGCCAAAACTTTCTTTCCCAAAAATTAATCACTCCTAAAAATATAACCCCTTCAATTCAAGTTAAACATATGTTGTAAAATAATAGATAAGGCAAAATTGTAAAATAATTTATGTTGGTATACCTGTATGGGTGGTACACCAGGATGGTTTACCTGTATGGGATACCAATATAGCATAAATAGCGTTAGCTTCGCGTTAGTTACTAGTTTAATCTTCCTCTTTGAAGATGATCACTTGGTGATCGAAACACGTGTCGAGGTGTTAAAAATAACGATTTGGTATTGGGAAAAAACTCGAGTAATATTCATCCACTTCATGAAACTGAAATAGTGGAAAACGTTGAGGTACCGCTTAATTCCTGATCCCATTTAAGATTCAAGGGTTGGATTTCACCCCACCGAGGAAGATTGATAATGGGCGCAAAACGTTTCCACAAGGAAATAAAAATCGACGGGTCCAAGAGAACTTTTTCCCAATTATCATTGATGAGAAATGGACATGAATGTTGCTCCTGGAAATTAATGATTGAACTGTTTCAGATTTCTCACGACTTAGGCCTGGATGCATGGATCCACTTTTGATGTTTTGGGAGATATATATGATGAACCGGATTTATTGAGTAATGTAAACACCTAGTGCAGAGCGAGAGATATATCTAGTATAAGCGTTTATTACGATTTCGTGTCATAAAAATTCCCTGGTGTCAGAAAGTTAATTGTGTTTAAAATAGCTAATTCAACAAAAAAACCGAAATGTCAGGGATTGAGACGAGACACGGTTCCTGCTTGAGTCGATAAGGAAAAGGCAAGTGATGACTCAATTGAACGAAAAATATTCAGGTTGAGAAAACACTTTTCCATTTATTGAAGCATATGCACGCAAATGGGCACTTGAAACTTACAAAATACATGTCATAGAAAATATTAAGGTGTGATTTCATAATGGTGGTGAGAGTAGAAGATTTCCTCTGAAATCAATTCTGGCCAACTGAATTTATGGCATAAATAAAATTATAGTAGACCATACTACTAATAAAGAGGTTCTAATATGTTCAATGCAAGATTCTTGCTAAATTGTTAGAATTAGACGAGCACTGTGTCATGATTTTTTAAATAAAAATTTAGTGAGTTGGAGTTAACAATTAATTAAGTTATATTTTTATCTGTGTGTGTTGATTTCACCAAGTATAAATATCATTTGATTTGAGAAAAAAAAAATATTCTTTTTGTTGCTTGTAGGTTACAGTAATACGGTCAAAAGTTTGCTTAGTTATCATTTCCTTTAAAAAAAAGAGGAAAAATTAATTTAACAATTTTGCTATGAACCCATATGGTCAATTCACGAGCTTCATAGTTTTTTCCATTCCTCGGATTTATTTTATATTTTCAGTTGGTGAATCAAAAAAATATGAAGATTGGGTATGGATCTGAATACTCATTCAAATCATCATGATCTATTCCAACTCAAATCATAAATATTTATGCAAATTCTAATAGTCTTTTTGAGTTTCGATATATGCAGATAATCTGAATTATTTTAATAAGGTAATCATTAATCGGAAGCGATCGTCCTTCAAAATCTCTCCAACTAATCAAGTTGGACAATATAAAAGAACACTTTTCATTTGAAACTTCAGTAGTTGGTTCAACTCTGTGGAAATGAGAGTGTTTTTGGTAAGTAGCAATACAATTATTTTAAAAATGAATATTAGTACCAAAGCAATTCGAAAGAGTCCTATTTACTGACTTAATCTATAAAGTTTCATTGATATCATCATTCAAAATTGACTATATGTCCTCTCTGAAAGAGAATATTTGAAAAAGAATATTTAAAAAGTATCTTAGACACAAAAGATGTCATTTTCGAACAGTACGGCCGTTCAAAAAAGGTATCTTTCGGTCTCCAGCTCCATGTAAGATCTTGAAAATGAAACTCATTCAAGTGAGGCGAAAATTTACGAATTATATCCGAAAAGTTTCCCCATTAACACAAACACCAACTGATCCAAACAATTGTTGGTACGAAAAGATGACCATTTCTAAGTTTTCCTTTAATTTTGATTCATTAGCAGTCCAATTTTATCGGCCATTAATTATTTTTTGAATACTGAAAACCAAGTTCATTCACTGAGGGTTGAAAATATATACAAATAAAACACATCATAATGATTTTGGTAGTTTTTGGCTCTTCTTGCTGTGTCAGCAGTAAATGCTGCTGAAAAAACAAAAACTGGACTGGATAAGTCACCGGAAAAACCGAAACGCAGTATTGGCCTCCTCGAGGATGGAATAGGAGGGATCAGCGCATATGGCGGCATTGGAGGCATCAGCGGAATTAGTGAACTAAGCGGGCTGAGATGTAAGTATCATATCATATATTAATCATAAGTTAGGGTTCCCGTAGAAGTTCCTAGGCCATATCCAGTTGAGGTTTCCAAACCAGTACCAGTTGAAGTAGAAAGACGAGTAGTTGTTAAAGTGAGTTGCATTATCATTTTTATATGTATATGAAACATCAGTCTGTAACTTCGTGCTTTTTTTTCAGGTTCCAGTTTCTGTACCCGTCTCAGTGCCACAACCCTACACAGTCCAAGTACCAACACCCGTACAAGTGAGAGTACCCACACCAGTATACGTCAAAGAACGCAAATATGTTCACACTTACAAGAATATTGACCACGGCGTCGTAAAGAACGGTGCAGTCAGTGGTGGATTAGTTAGTGGTGGATTCCTTAGTGGTGGATTAGTCGGCAGTGGACTGGGAAGCAGTGGATTAATCAGTAGTGGATTATCTAGCAGCAGATTGGTGAGCGGCGGAGTAGTCAGTGATGGATTGGTCAGTGGTGGATTATCCAGCGGTGGCATATCAGCCTACAGCGAAGGGATTAGTGGTGGATGGCATTCGGGTTCTCTGAATGCATTCAGTCATAAATGATTTACGACAAAAGTACTCTCAGGCTGTATATATCTAGAATATACGTTAAGAAATCAACTTGAAGTTAAAAGTGATAATTAAAGATTAATCCGATACATTCCTCTATGGATTATTAATTATTTCACATCGAACAAATGACTCTTTTCGCATTCAATAAAGGGTATTTATTTTTATATTGTGATTTAAAATTACCCGACAGAAACGAGATAAATGTTGAATTTTTGAATTCAATCATATTCATTTGAATTTATATGAATTATGATGAATGTAATAGCATTCACAAAATAGGTGGTTGAAAACATATTGTAGCTGATGAATTTGAAACAAACACAACGATATGTAGATATTTAAGCAAGACGAACGTCCTACCTTCAACATGCATTACAAGCATCATACTAAATGATGATTTCCAGGGTTGTTCATCAGAATTCAAATTTCCAGATATATAGAATGTTTGCAAAGAAAAGCTCTTTAGAACAAAGTTTAAAGCTTCTCGGTTTAGGAAGTTAGGTGTTGAAAGACTGGAATGCAATTTTTGTAGATATCTTGAAAATTACAGAAAAGTTTTGATGAAAAATACCCCCATTTTACTTAATTATTGCGTGTGCAAAATATTTTCGAAATGAAACTTCAGAAAGAAACAAAAACGATAGAAATTCAAATAGTTAACTCCACATGCAAAAACACGTGTAACATCAAAAGAGCGTATGGCGGTATGGGCGTATTGCCAAGGGTGAGTTGGCAACACTATATCAAATTTTAAATACACTGACCTGTTACTTGGCGAAAATAAATAACACTTTTCATGATAATGCCTACAAACTTTTACAATTTAGAATTCATTTCCAATACGCGTTTCACTACAACAGTAGCTTCCTCAATTGGACTGGTACTCTACAGTACTTACAATTCATTACATACAAATTATCCACCTTAATTAATAGATATTACCAATTGGTAAACAGGTATTCAACAGGTACAAAGCACGTAAAAACTATTCCACTAATTCTAGTGAATTTTTCATGAAAATAAATTTAAGAGTGAAAGATTAACTTGTCGGTCGTTCAATAGGAAATTTGATTGTTTACGTTTATTAATTTTGAATTTTTTGTATTGGTTTTCTTCAATTCATTTTTTTTTTGAGTTCGGAGATTCTGGTTTCGAATTTTCTATTTATTCTTCCAATGTAAACTTTTGGATGCGAGCCATATTTTAGCTTGTAGGCACCCAATTCATTGTTCTAGTCGATGTTTACTTATCTTTTCTGATGCATTGCCTGTATATGTCCGTGTTTTGAGAGTGTTTGTATTATCTTGGATCTGAGAGTATACTTTTTCATAACGACTTGTTCGAATAGTTTTTTGTCGAGGTTTTGATGATTCATGTCCGGATTGAAGTTGCTATTTACTGTCATCTGTTTTAATAAATTCAGTCCTTTATTAAAATTATCTGCTGACATAGGGTTACTAATGGGTCTGTGTTTCATGGTGTGGTACGCTGTTAGTTTATGTTGAAAAAGGTGATAAGAATGGTTGTTGATAGTTTTGCTGTATTGTATGGATTGGTTTGCGAATAATCTCCGAACCCACAAAAAAAAGTTTGAATTGAAGAAAACTAATTCAACCTATGCATTCCTTCTGTTGTAAAACAATCACGATTACGACGTACCACATACAGAAAATAAAGGACAAAAATTAAACCTGCTGGAATCCCTGGAAATGAATAAACGTAAACAATCACATTTTTTATTGAACGACGACCCTTACTTCTTTTCTTGAAAACTTTCCTAGAATTATCCAAATTTCTAATAAAGAAACGACATTAGTAGTGGTTTAATGACTGAGAAATACAGCCAAATCAATACTGCTCAATATTCTTCATATTTGTGAGGTACCTACTATTTGGAACCTTGGTGTAGTAATGAATATTACTGGTGATTTTTCCCCAATAACAAACCGTTATTTTAACACCTCAACACGTGTTTGGATCACCAAGTGATCATCTTCAAGAAAATTGCGACGACCGCCACTGGTAGCCATAAGCCAATTGTGACGTGGTCAAGACCGCGCGCAGCCTCGATTATTCTAGTCTTCGCACCGGCTTCGATGGAATCCCGGCGAATATTTCACCTGCTTCGATAGATTTTTAAGGAATTCTCCACCGGTTTCGGGAAAGTTCGTTTGCCGCATATAAACGCTTTCCACGAGCATGTCGAGATAGTCAAGTTTCACGGACAGTGCGGTGCAAAGCGATCTTATAAGACGATATACATTTGAATAATAGCTGAAGTTTTAGTTAAAGTATTTTGTTGTGAAATAAAGTAAAGTTTGATTGCTATACACTGTAGTCAATTATTGGTAAACCCACGGGGAAAAACGTAACATTTGTTTTCAGTAAATCCTACACATGCTCCACCTATTTCTTGAAAGACATATTTTTTCTTAGAATTACTTATGTCAAGATCAGGTTACATAATATGGTATTCTCGTTTGGTAAATATTGCGACGAGCTATTATATCACATGAATTGTATAAGTTGTTGTAAGTTGATGGGTTTGATTTGATTTGAAGTTAATTTTCTTCTTTTTTTTTAGTTTTGGTTGAACATAGCGGGTTCATTTCATTAAATGGCGTCATTGTTGTATGGTCGATCCCTACAACATTTGTTGTATTCTTTTCCGCAAATCCTTTCATGTGATAGCCATATCATTGGAATGGATAAAAAGCAGTAGATTCGACGTAGATGTTACATTTGACACGAGCAAACATACATACATACTTATAAACATGGCGAGTTACATAAAAGCTTGCAAAAAAATAAAGAGTTTCGAACGTGCTCGTATAGTCAAGTCACACTAATCAGAAATAGTCTTTTTCGAGAAAAAAAAAAAAAAAAAAAACGATTCAGGTTTTTCTTTTGATAATTTCCCTGAAGTCTCAACGCCAGCCGGATGTAATTTCTAACAATTCAACGTATTGGATGATACACTATCGTGATATTACAAAAAAAAATACAAAACTGGGAAACGTGTTTGATTGTACAAATTTTCAAATCAAATGACATATTTTTCTGTACAACGTTTGGTTAGGAAAGATCCCAGTCTCGTCTCTCAACCTACCTACATTGTAGTATCTAGCAAATATTTGCCAGAAGTTGTATTCTAGTTTATTTCTGACTTTCTTGTTGACCCGAATACCTTCTTCTTTTTTATTGAAATTGTTGAATTGCTTATAGATCTCAATGGCCTCTATGTAAAGTAATGCGTTTAATTAGACAGGACAGCAGTTTATTCGTAATTTATTACGTGGTTTGTTTTTACTAGGACAAATTCTGCAAAAACGGATTTCTTCGGTTCCATAAGGCGGCAGCTACTCTTGTGTTCTTGTATACTGGTTATGACGCTGCGTTTCGTAGTTCCGATGTAAACCGAGCCACATAAATAAGGAATCCTATAAACACTGGCGGATGTCAGATGTACTTTTTTATCCTTTGCCGATCTGAGTGTTGGGTAGTTGATTAGTTGGCTTGTGAATGGTCCTAATGTTGTGACGTTCGAATATTTCTCCAATGCGGTCCACGACTCTGTTTATGTAAGTCAAATAGACTGTGCCTACCACTGGCTACTGTATCGTGGTTGAAGTTGAAGTATTTCGTCTTCTAGGATGTAGAACAGGTTTGAATTCTCACGCTGAAAAATAATTGGCATGTAAAGCTTGGTCTAGATGATGGAAGTTCTTTTCTAAAAAGATCACTATAGTAGGTTTGCGATAAATTGTGTGGCAGAGTTTTTCATCAGTTTTTCTGTTAACCAGTACATTCAAAAAATAGCATATTTTTTTCTTTTTCCGTTTCCATGGTGAACTGGATCCGAGGATGAATGGAGTTGATGTGGCGTAGGAACAGTTCCAATATTAATTTCCCGTAGCTTTAAATAACAAAAGTCATCAAAATAGGTTGATTTTGATGGAGCGGTGCTGAGAGCCCTCTTCTCGAAAATTTCAATGCAGAATTTTGCAACCACAGGGCTGAGAGGAGTTTCCATAGCGACTCCATATATTTGTTCAGTTATTCCATTGGAGATATGTAGAGGTGAGAGCATGGTCGAAAAGAGCTGTGATGTCAAGTTAGTTTGATATTCTCCAACGACATCATTGAGAAACGACATCGAAACTAGCCAGAATATCATTCAGCTGCAGGATTAAGTGAGATGAGTCCCTGGTGTAAGATTCTTCTTTTCATAAGTATGGCTGAAGTAGGTTCGTTAGTTGACAATTGGAAGAACTGGAAGGTATGGCTTGTGAATTTCAGGAAGGCG